AAAAACGGTGTGTACCTGCACATGCGGAAATATATTATTATTATTATTATCTGTGATGGATGAAGTTACCGAGAAAACAACACCATTTAATGGTAATTATAAGTCAATTTGTTGACCGATTTCGTTAATAGTTTCATTAATTTTACCAGTCATATTACGTGATTGTCAAGTTATGACAATGCTTTATGACGATATCCTGAAACTATTAAATTTAACTAGTTATAGTGTTGATTGAGGATTAGCCAGTGGAAAAATAGGTATTGTTGCTTTAAGTGATTCGAAATCATCAGAAATTTACAACGTTAAGGAATCCGAGACGCCTAATTTAATTATAAATTCCAATTCAGAAATATTCGTTTAGTGTTAATTCTAGTAGGCTACAGAGTTTTGATTTTAAACGTTTGTTTAGCCAACAGCTACTTGGGGATTTAGTTATTTTACTAGTGCAGTTGATAGTACCTAAATTTTTAATCTTATTATCTAAACTATGTTCGCATTTTAGGTTGCTAATATGATAAACCAATCCATAAAGCCAAATACGATTAGCAACAACGACTATGATGGGTTTATTGATAAATGTTAAATGCGATCCAGATTATTTCTAAATTTAGAAGACATGGAGATATAGTGTAACGTATGTATGGGCCAGGTTAACATGCAGGTTGTTGACGTATATGACGATTTAAAAATAATGGACATGACCAGAAAATAGTTTTAAAGTTTAGACTGCTTGTCAAACTTCAGGCAGGAATATGATGCGTTATAAACATTCCATAAGGAGTTACTGCATTTAGCCTAGGGACACTTACAAATATATATATAGCAAAAGGAACCGGAAAACATATACATGTTAAGTAAAAAAAATCATTGAGTAAAATAGTTGAACCCGCCTGGGTTATTTTTGAAAATTAGATTATTCAGTGGACGACATATATAACGCCATTCGTGAGGAGTAGTAATGATCCAGAATAAAACATGCAGTATGGCAATTAATCCCAGGGTGCTTGATGCTGTTGACGTTTTTGCCACTCGCTCGGATTAGAACAACCGAATGAATTCAGATAATTGTGTGGTCACCATTGAACGAGCCATCTAAAATGACCTTATGATTGCAGAAAACTTATGGCTGAAACTCACCGTATGTTTTTAGAGAAGTGCCATCCTTGTTGTTTGGCAATGGAACTCGAGAATATGAAATTAGGCAGGCAGTGGTCGGAAGAAAAGATATTACAGGATAGTGCATAGTTTAAAACAGGATGAGGTGATAAGATAAGGAACTCTGAATATTAGATCCATGTAACTATTTAGTCCTTGCTGCATTGTTAGTCAATGTATATTTGCGTTATTTACGGGTCATATTTGCTAGAGCTTGATGCTTAAACAAGTCTATGTCGCTGAAGCATGTAAATGCTATTAAAGCTTGTTAACGAACCATCAAAGCTAATTAGTTAATATAGACGACCAGTTTTTATTATCGATTGAGCTAGTATGTCATGAGAACTAACCAATATAACATTACGATAATAAATGTGAGCATTAATCAGGACTGTTAGAATATTGGGTTAACATAAATACAAAATAGATCAAGAAATTTAGGATGGAAATAAGATTAACAATAATAGGTTGCGTTTCTCTAGTCGGGCTTACCAATGTAAAACTATGGTCTACTATGATATTAGTACTGCTCTAATAATAGACCTAATCCTAAATTTGTAGATTTGTCATGATATAACTGCCTAATCTATAAGATCTTACGTGGAAGTCACACCATCGACTACACCAACTCACTGTATCGTATCAATTAACAATACATGATGTAGAACAAGGTTAGGCTAGAGAAAGAACAATATATTTAATATGAATAGAAGATATAAGGTAACATTCAGCAGAGACCACGCCTGCATGGCCGAGCCATGCCACTCGATCAACTCCAGTCCATTCAATTCATTGTTCGCGCCTTCTCCATTGTTAGGTATTTCTCCGCGTTAAATATTGAATATCTATTTTCTGAGTAGTCTCGTGTTCACAGCTTTGTGGATTGTGTGGCTATTGTCCAATGCCACTACATGTGTTTATGGTAAGTAGGGTTTTAGACTCGTCAGAAACAGGGATTTGTAAATAAGCTTCCAATAAATCCAACTTTGCAAAAAGCTTACCTCCGTTCAGTTTAGCAAAAAGATCTTCAGGTAAGTGTAATGGACACTGATGAGTTTCTAAGGTTTCATTCAACCCGGTTGAATAACCGACACATAAACGAATGCTACCATTAGTCTTCTTTACTACTACTATCGGTGTGGCCCATTCTGAGAAATTCACTGGTTTAATGACACCTAGTTTCTGAAGTCGTTCTAGCTCTTGTTCAACCACTGGGAGAGCAGCGTATGGTACGGGTCTTCTAGGTCGAAAGACGTGAGTGGCTGTAGGCTTTAGAGTTAACGATGCTTTGGTCTTCGTGCATTCCCCCAATCCTTCTTTAAACACTTGACTGTATATTTCTAATACAACCCCCTTCAGATCCTTTTCCGCTGGTTTATTGGTTTTCACTGCGTTGCATATGTGGTTAATGGGGTGATTTGCTAATTACAATGTTGCTATTAAGTCTAGACCCAGTAAATCCAGTCCTGAGTTTTCTGTGAGATATAAAGTTGAACTCTTCGTGTTTCCTTTCGAAACTGTACAACAGACCTCTCCAACAATATTTAGTTTCCCTCCGGATGCACTCTGAGCCTTTAGAATAATGGTCTACTATTATATTAGTACTGCTCTAATAATAGACCTAATCCTAAATTTGTAGATTTGTCATGATATAACTGCCTAATCTATAAGATCTTACGTGGAAGTCACACCATCGACTACACCAACTCACTGTATCGTATCAATTAACAATACATGATGTAGAACAAGGTTAGGCTAGAGAAAGAACAATATATTTAATATGAATAGAAGATATAAGGTAACATTCAGATGGACCAGGCCTGCATGGTCGAGCCATGCCATCCGATCAACTCCAGTTCATTCAATTCATTGTCCGCGCCTTCTCCATTGTTAGGTATTTCTCCGTGTCAAATATTGAATATCTATTTTCTGAGTAGTCTTGTGTTCAGCTTTGAAGATTGTGTGGTTATGGTCCAATGCCACTACAAGCTAACTGGGTTGTTGGGAGCACCTGTGGTTTTCCGACATGCTTCCAGGTTCTTCGACTAATAAATGTGATGTCAGAAGCGGTGTCGAGCTGCAGGTGGGCACGCTTTTTATTTATATCTAGGTTCACATACTTTCTTTGTCGGCAAATTTGTGGTCGATTATGTGATACCAATACTTTGTTAGTTAGAGCACTATATCTGTATTTCTTTGAGTAAGGTTTCAAGGAATGTCGTTTATGGTTTCTTCTCCCGCAGAGGTTTTCTTCATGCCCCTTCCGATGACATTTGCTGCAACAATGTTCTTTATATGGGCAGAAACTCATATAGTGTCAACCTCCACATGACCAACATGTAGAAGATGGGTTGGCGCTGTTATTACCATAATTATGCGTGCTGGAACCTTGAAAGACTTTTCTCTTGACTGCATTGACGTTAGGGAAACGCTTACCGTTTCATACCATCGAGGTTTCATGCTTCAAGTTCACTAACCTTTAGCACTCAGTAGTTGCCTCCTGCAGGGCCATGTTAGGGCAGTGTTCGAATTTGCTTAGGATTCTAGTTAGGATATCAGCATCCTCGGGTGAACGCAGGCTACAGATAAATACTAAGCATTTAAACTGGTCTTCAGACATGGAAGACAATTTGAACCTCTCACATTCTCGGTTCACAATTCTTGGATGTTTCACCCAGTCATCTCCTGATTCTTTCGTTAACTTTAAGCACTGATAACGGATACTAAATAGAGATGATTGTTCTCCAAAGATTTGAGACAGGGTTTTAACTGTTTCATTGAAACTAAAGTCTCGTGGATTTTCGGGAGAATGAAGTTGCTGTAGCGTTTATGTTCCATAGTTCCAAGTTTTCTCAGTATTCTGACTTTTGATGCGTCATCCAGTTTGCAAAGATCAATATAAAACAAATCTTCCTACTTCTAAAACCACGACTCAAAAGTTGCACCTGCTACACCATCAAAATTAAATTAATGGACGGCGTTAATGACTGAATCAGTATATGATACTTGTAACTCACCAGAAGCAGGGTTTCGCTGGGACAGGCAGAATTTCTGCATCAGGGCTTCCATGATTCTGATTTGGGACTCTTCAAACCTCATTTCTTGATGCTCAATATAAACTTCTAGTTGCTCCAAAGAAATATCCCATCTAGTTTTTCCCGTCGCCACTGATGTCATGAAGTTCTCCGAAAGCCGACTCAACTAATTGGTTGATCAAAAGGTTTTTATTGGTAATGGTCTCAAAAATTATCTTCCAAGACTTATGATACGGTTTGCCTTACTTTCTTACGCCTGGTACTCCTCATGGAGGAGCATAGGTCGCTCTCAGCATTCTCAGGAACTCTCTAGTGTCGAATAAGTTTCCATAACGTCCTTCTATCTACTCTGCCAAACGCCTTTTCATAGTCAATGAAGTTGATGTACAGTGACAACTTCTATTCAACTGATTGTCCGACGACGATCTGTAGTGTCGCAATTTGGTCTGTGCACGACCGATTCTTACGGAATCCAGATTGTTGATCTGGAAGTTAGGCGTCTACTGAGTCTTTCATCCGGTTCAGCAACACTCTGTTGAAGAATTATTCTGGTACTGACAGTAGTGTAATGCCTCTGTAGTTTACACATTTGCATATGGAGTCAAACTACTGGTATTTTTCTACAGAACAAATATCAGTACCCTCGAATGATACATGAATATGGTTACTTGACAGGTATAGCAATTACCGACGTTGAAATATGATCTTTGAAACATTTCATGTATTTTCTTAGCACACAGTTTTGGGGATTGAGTAATGAATTAGGCCTGGTTACGAAACTACGAGTTCGCGCGCTTTGCAAAAAACTAAATGGCTTCAAGGTAGCTTCCCTCGTGTTTTCGTATTAGTTCGGGATTACGCTTTGAAATTGCTTTAAAATGTTTATTTGTCTTTAGAGATAACCGTCTTTCCGTTTATGTTGGTAATCTCCCCCCGGATACTTTACAAGGGCATTTCGATTACATATTTGCAGGTTGTGATGTAGGTCCCCTATTTTTTTCTTCATTTATAGTGTAGATAGAAAGTGTTAGATTAGTGAGAGACAAACAGACAGACGAATTCAAAGGGTATGCTTATGTAGATTTTAAAAATGAACAATCCCTACAGGAAGCACTAGCTGTCGACGGTGCGGTATGTCACTGGTTCTCATTTTACTTTTCTGTTTAGATTGTCGACGGACGCTCTCTGCGAGTAAATCTCGCAGGCGAAAGACCTGGACGTGGTATGTTTATTTTTACCCCGTATTTGTGAAAGCTTCATGTTGTGCATGTAAAACTTTGTGACTGACAGTTATTGGCAAGAAAACATAGGTAAACATTTATTCCTACTTTTAAACTCGAAAGTCTCTATTAACGTGAGTTGGCTTCATGCAGCAGACACTGTATTTTGTTAGAAGGTTGTTTTCCAAGCTTTTCTGCTAAATTTTCTTGTCTGGCAGGTGAAGATGTTCTCAAATCCTGGTAGATATATTGATGTATTATTATGATGATCCTGTAATAGTTTACGAAATAGCCAGATGGTTACTCTTAACAAGATCATATTCACAATTAGTGAGATTCAGTGGCTAAGAGATTTCCCTAATTGTGAAGTTAATGTACGTTGCACTACATATGATTTTCAATTATTCACAAATGCGAACGCAGTCAACTTGCAGTTTAAGGTACGTTTAGATCCTCGCCACCTAAAACGCTACAGCGCATTTAGTCTACTATAGTTTATTTACAACGGGAAACCTTGGTAACATGGGTTTACAATACCCAGTTGAACTAACCTTTCAGCGATTGGATCTCAGCTACAGCAGGTTTGTGTATACACAAATAATAAACAGGTAGTATGGGTCACTACCCAATATTCTACAATGTCGAAAAAGTAAAGTGGATAGAGAATCTAACAATTACCGTCTATTATTAACATGGCATTCACAATAGCTATTTTAATGGGTTTGTGTGCCCGTCTTCTGTAACCAGAAATTTAATCAAGTTTTTTGATGACTTGTACTGTCACATGTTTTGCTGTATCTGCATTATCATGCTTTCACTATCTGAAGGTGGTGGTCAGGGTCAATGGGGTATGAACAACGGATATGGAAATCAAGGACGTGGTGGTTTCGGTAGTCATGGTCGCGGTGGTTTCGGAAATCAAGGACGTGGTGGCTTTGGAAATCAGGGACGTGGTAGACCTAGCATGGGTGGTGGACGGATGGGTGGGCATACTGTTTTTTTTCTTGACTTTTCATCTGGTTTGGTTAATAGGTTTATCTTTCCGACTCACTGTACCGATCAATTTATGTCTGCAAATAGGATCGAGCTTTTTAGGTTTGTCAGCTATAAGTATTCCAAAAGTTGTTTTTAGTGTGGTTAAAATCTCAGACATTTTTCATATGGAATAGGACTCGATTGTTTCGTTTTCACCACAGATGATTTTGTAATTACTTACTGGTGACTTGGATAAGCTTAATTTGATTAATTCACATGGATATTCATTTTCCCCCAAAACATTCACTGTGTATTTTTAATCGTTCTGCATGGTTTTTATGGTATTGAAAATGTGCATTCGAGTAACTTAACTGGGATGCTGAAGTTCGGTTATGATGTATTTTCTGATTCTAAGGTTTTCGCATTCAAACAAAGGATATAAGAGAACCACAGAATAAAACAATGAAAACTATGAGTCATTTCTAAGTGTAATGCTAAGTAGGATTATTCGGCCTAACTTAAATGTGTTATGCATAAAATGGATGTATATTTTTTAACAAACGTGTTTGATGGAATTAAAGGTGTAAGTCTCTGTAAACTGAATAATTGTTACTCATTCGTTTATTGATAGCTTAAAAATATCTACCAGCATGGTCGTAATGATCGAAATCTGTGGGAATTCTTGACTAAACATACTGAGGTTCCTTTTTTAAAAGAACATGCCAAACTGTTAACATCAGTGCTTTACAAATAATAAGATAATATAATCCATTTAAAACACAGACTTATATATTCGGCTGTCAGCCACATTTTACTTGATACTACTCGTCAGCTCAAGCCGACCTAGTTTACTCAGGTTTCTGACTTGCACTCTAATGTCGACCGACCTACCTGACGAGGTGGGAGTCGTGAAGGAACCCCGAATCCTTGGGTGCTATGGGTCACCAGCCACAGATGGCTTACCTTTGACCCCTTTTGAAAGTCGTCCCATTCTACCTTGTGGGTGTGGAACATTAGCCATTAGGAATAAAGGATATTCGTAGATTGCTAGTGTTCGACAATAGGTATCTTCGAAGCATTTCCCTTGTGTTTTGGGACCATGGAGTAAGCAATGTCTGGGTAAGGATGGGGATTCTATTCGTGAGGTAGCTGGAATAGGCATTGCGTATGCCGAACCAACCGCAACTGATCGATTTCTTATTGGCATATGTGCATCCTGTGTGGATTGCCTCGTTATTTCCTCAAGTCAAAATCATCATAAGCAGAGTTAGATGGGTGCAGCAGCGATCTACTATGAATGTCGTTCCTCCGAATCCCACATCATGCATTATTTACCGATGCTGGGACTGGTTGGAAAAAGTGGAGAGGTGGTCAGTTTACGATACGATCTTAGGGTGTGGACGAAAGCTTCATAGGACTGGGATATATCGGTTCATCCTGAATTCCTGATTGGGTTCCTAGAGATGGTGTAACTTAGTGCCTTGAGACGTTATCAAACATGTCTCAAAATAGAAGCAAGCGGCGATCCTGCTGTGATTTTCTTTTGCTTTCTTCATATAGGTTAGGGAAACTTCGTAAACTGAGTCTTTTCTGGTTGTACTTTTCTTAACTGAACTGCTCTCAGTTTTCTACTCGGTTCATAATTCATCACACTATTGAAATTATTAAGGAGTTGTTTTTATTTTTTAATTATATAAACACATAAACATTGGTACGAGGAGGCACCAAATAGATATGCGCCACATAAATCTTTCGATCTGTGTGAGGGCCGGGATACTCTACGAGTGCCCAAACCGAAGCAGGAATAAAAAATCTCGAAATATTCCTCTTCCATATTACTTTTTTTAGTGTTTGTTATAATCTCTTTCTTACGGTTATAACCCAGCTATTCCTATTGCTTGGTAATCTTGGACACCAAATCACTCGACAAGTCCCCGAATCAGAACACGGTTGAACAGGAAAGAGATAATATTCCAAATAACAAGGTTAGATGGAAGCAAGAAGCACAGCAGGAAAAGCGTTAGTTTATTCATAGTTTTTACATGAGAAGATTCCAGAGTATTCTCCAAGTATCGACTAGTGCTGATCGGATAAGAATTAGCCAATCAGCGTGCACCAAAGCAATCGTGCATTGAGTATGCTTTAATCCAGTCTATGTCCCGTTAACAGTGCTTTAAAATACTTTTTACCATTACGTATATATTATAATCTACAGATGAAATGTAAACTATAATTTTTGTTTAATATGTAATAGTGGTTTAACATTTCGATGATGTTCGGCTTATCAATTGTCATTACATCATTTGGCTCATAATTCGTTACAATCACCGTTAGTTTAGGTAACTAGATAAATATTTTTAACATCTATATAAAATATAGCTAATATACTGTTTAATTGTATGTTAAACCAATTATTCTTCGTTACCAAATTGAATTTGAGAAATTTTTATTTCTTGTTTATGTTTTACTATTAGAAAGTTATGGACGTCCAAATAGAGGCGGAATGGGTGGGTTCGGTGGACAACGACAAAGTTACCATCCTCCAGGACTGTCACGAGAGGAATTAAATGAACCTAGTATCAGGAATCCTCAGTCAAATTCTACGAATTCAACCAGTAGTGGTTCGGGTGGTGATCGACCTAAACTAAACCTAAAAATCAGAGAGACCCCTGTAAATACAAATGATGATCGACAATTATCAGAGCGTGCCCGTGCGATATTCGGAGTTGGGCGTCCTCGAGAAGCTAGTCCAATTCGAGAAAAAAAGTAATTAAAGTGTGCATCTGAATTTAGTACTTATTTAGTTTTGATTCAATTCCATTCTCATACTTCAGTTTTACGAAGTTTTGAAGTATAACCTGTTTAGTAAACGTCCTAAAGTTAGTCAATCGATCGTATGAAACGTACAACTAATCACATGTGAATCATTTCAAGCGGCTACGTCAGATTAGCAACGTTCGAATGCCATACTTAAAAGACAACGGGTTTGAACTTTGACTCAATTTGTTAAGTGTGTAAATTACCTTTAATCGATTTCGTTGTCGTACTTTTGTCGATTTTTCAATTTCATCTTAAGCCTACTAATTATTTCGTACTTCATTTGTAACTTTGTTACAGGTTGGGTTCTGAAGAAAATGCAACCGGTTCTAGTTAATGAGAGAAGATCATTTATATTCAACCAAAGCAACTTGACAATTGTTTTCACCAACATTTCTACGAATATGTGTATTTTTCTTGTTTAATTCGAACATTTCACCCCCCCCGTTTTTTCTTACATTACCACATGAATATATACATATATATTTCTGTGTATGAACTAATTTCATCTTAAAAGTGTGTTACTTTTTCAATTTGATCTTTTTCTCATTGTATTCACATTTTAGTCTTTAAACCTCATTGTCGTTTCAAATCAAAACGTTTAAATGTACAGGTTGTCCGAGTTTTTTTCCCGTCAGTTCTACTGTTTGGTTAGAATCTTTTTAAAACAATAGTTCTATTTGTTGTTGTTGTTGTTGTGCTAATTGTCATTGTTGTTTGATTGTAAAAACAAGCTTATCTCCTTGGTAATTGTTAGACAATTTACCCGTTTTCGTTTTTACTATTTGTCTTCATATATGCGTGTATGTGTGTATGTGTATACATCCAAGTGGGTTGTTTGTTTGTTTTTCTTCTTTCTTTATTACTGAACAAATCATATACATCATTCAATTATCTTCTATATTACTGAATCTGTTTAGGAAAGCATATGTAAAAATAAGAGAATACAATAATCTATTCTCAAAGAGAGACAAAAAACTAATAATAAATTCCTTTTTATAATAGATTTTGTTTTACAATAAAAGAATGAATGATTTATACTGTTTGTTGTATTTAGATTACATAGATGGTGATTGGAGGTACTCGACAGGAAACCCTGGACCCAGGTTTCGTGCTACTTGGCACTCGTCAGCAAGGTGTACTTGTAATCTTGAGGGGACTAGTGCTCCTTGGCGGATTCGATCTCGTGTCACCCAGCTTCCGCCAGAGAGCACCAGCACTGGTATGGCCGAGAGTGGGGTGGGCCCGCCCTCCCTCTCGAAATGCTCTCACACGGCCACGCGTAAATAGCCTCTGCCAGGGAAGTCTTACTCACTGCCTTCTCGTGGCGGGGGTGTTGTTTACGAAAATGAGAGGACGAAAAGCGAATGTCCGGCGCTTTAACCGGATTCCAAATCAATGGTGCACATGGGCTCCAGTATCCTGCGGGAACAAATGGCGTATGAACCAATCGTTGGTCACCGGCTACCATGGGGCGGCATCTCCTCACGATGCTCCACTGCCTTGTGGGTTAGACCTTCAGGTCGAAGGCTCGGGGAGTGGCCCCCTAAGATAACCACCTGATTCGGTCTGGGCACCCGAGCAGTATCACAGCCCGCACACAAATATGATGAACTGTCGATAATTATGGAAAATACTTTTCTTGCTTCAACTATTAATCAAACGATTCACATTATTTTTATTACTATTGTTATTATTTACTACATCATTTATTCACTCTCTTTTATTCCTACTCTGTCTATCCTTATTTTTCGACTTATACAGCAGCTCGTCTATGGTGGAAATTCGGTTCTATCTAAACGTTCTCGAGTAGAGACGTTATCAGATATGGCTCAGAATAGAAGCCAGTGGCGATCCTGCTGTAACCTTTTACTTTCGTCATAAAAAGTGGTTGTTTCTTCCTTAACTGAAATATCTCATCTGAGTGTACGTTTCTGTTTCCCCCATTATTATTATTACATTACCTTACACTAATCTGTTCGTTATCGTTTTTTTTACGCTCCTTACCTTTTTTTCCTTCTCTGCAAGTTCTCATTGTTTTGTGCGGCGCATATATATTTGGTGCCCTCCTGTACCAATATTTGTGTGTTTAAATAAATAAATAAACAGGTACACCTTGCTGACGAGTGCCAAGTAGCACGAAACCCGGGTCCAGGGTTCCCTGTCGACTACCTCCAACTACCATCTAATCTCAATATATAATGCCCGCAGTGTCGAGTCACCTACCTAGACTGATGACCACATTGCAACATGGTCGATAGCTTTCGATCTGCACTGAATAAGAACTAGACACGCATGATCAGTCAATTGTGATTAGATTACATAGTTTACCTTATTCTTATTCTTCTTTATTATTTTATAGGTAAGACTTGTGAATGGGTAGACGTTTTATCTGTGATTATTGTGACAAATCATTTCCAGATAATCCAATTAATCGAAGAAATCATCTTAAAGGTGTACAACATCAACAAGCTCGAAAATTACATTATGATAAATTTCTTGGTAGGATTATAAATTATGAAATGTGATTTCATTTTATAAATATATATATATATATATATAGATCCTAAAGAAAAACTTAGTATAGAGAAAGCAAAGAAACCATGTATAACATTTCGTAATTCTGGTACATGCACTTATGGTCCATTATGTAAATATTCTCATATAACCATCGAAGAGATTCGTATATTAGAAGAGAAATCTAGTAAGATAATAATAGTTTTGTTTATTTATCAAAATTTAGATGCTGAACTTCTTGCTTCATCTTACTTAAATCATTTAACATCTGAAGTGAATATTAATAATCAAATTAATATATTAGAATCAAAATTAATATCTAGGCGTGATAAACAATCAAATTCTGGATCAACTAAACAATTTCATATTCCAGAAGGAATACAACTATTATATCTACCTCCGTCATTGTCTTTACATTAAATATTCCAGATAGATGCCTGATTTTATCTTTCAAAGGATTTGTGTATATCGAAAATTCATTTGAGGATTCCACGTGTTTCTATAGTGAGGTTTTAATTGATAGACAAACCAATCAGATTTCAAATAGAGAGTTATAGATTTTGGCATCAACTTCTGACTTCTCACACTAATTCATAAACCTATTTAGACCTTTTTAAGTTGGTGCAATTTCTCAAGGTCACTATGACCACTCAAAGGTTGTCTATAAATTCTAACTCCACTTTATGGGGCTTCTTTGACGGTTAAAGGATTTCTGTATATTTACGCTATGGAAAATAAAGTACTTATTACTTTTTAGGCTGTTTGGCCTATTACTCTTTTCTTTTCAAATATATTCTGTTTGTTCGGGTTCTTTTAGTTAGTCGAGGGAGGGATTTAATCGTGAATAAGATGATCTTGGTTGTTGCTAGAAGTATAAGGGTGGAGGGATATTTCTTCTTTAGGGATCTGAAAAACCGGACTTCTGGTGACCATAGAGATCTGAGAGCGTGATCTCCTGAGCCCGGTCACTTATGGCATTTCTGTGGGACTTTTTTTAACTGTTAGCTCCGCACTTCGACAGGCCTTACCGCTGGAGACAAAAATCCATGGGTAAAGTGAGGTGTGACATTTCAGGGTTGACCTTTTCTAACCCCTTTCGTTGTGAGAATACAACATCACTGTCCGAGGGAAGTACCTTACTGCCGTAGCGCCCCTTTGCACTCGGCAGTACGACTTCACCATCGTGCCTTAATTTACTGCTTTTAATCTTACCGTTCTCCAATCGACCTGCTTCGTATAGTAGAGTTTAAAGGAGAATTTGTTTTAACCAATATACCACGTCAAGATAGCATATACAGTCGAGTTCATTCAATTCATATAGCCCCCACCAGCACAAATATGATACTACAACCTGAATTCTAAAAGTTTAAGCGGTTAGCATAATAACATTTAGTTTATTGAGTGAAGTATAAGGTGCTTCTTTTTTAATAGTTTTTCTTGGATTACTGATATTGTTGCACATGTAATCAACATACAAGTACATCAACGAAATGCTATATGGTGACGTGTTTCGTCTTTCTAATTTGAAAACCAAGTAAATGACCGAATCACATTGCTGTAAAAAGAGCTAAACAGACGTAACGCATTAATGTATGTATTCTTTGTAACCTAGATCACTGAGTTTTCTAAACGAAGGTATTTGCAATACGTTTGAATTACATCTATTTACAACACACGTGTTTCTAACAAATTCTCAAGTTCCGCATTGTGTCCTACAGTCGCCAACGCTTTTCAATACTAGCTCGATAAAATAAGTGTATATCACTACTATTGTTTACTGAACAATCCAAGCAATAAAATTACACTAAGTGATTATTACTTGTTTTCTTTTCGCCCGAGAACTCACATCAGCAATTTCAATTTTTATTGGTCACCAACAGACCCGAGATTATATTGATATAACACAGGACCTGGCATGACTGCTTAATCAGAGATACTTATACACAGCGACTTTTTGATTCATACAAGTAAGGAAGAGTGGTGAAATTCCCAGTGAGATGACAATACAATTAACGATTACCACAGTGTGTAAGATAGAGCGACCAATAGCAGTGGGAATCTGTTAGGTTGCGAAGGCCGAGGTAACGATTGTTGCGGGAAGATCCATCAGTTAATTCACTAGAATATAAATTGAAAGTCATTTTGTTTTCTTGACTCCAATAAATTACCCGCAGTTTTTTGTATAAGGTATGGTTCGGACGTTGTGTTGAAAAGCAGTATCTGTACATTTTTTAAAACCATTTTGGATGCTTATTTTACTGTTTGGGAACTTAATCTTGTGATTCTATTGATTTAACTCGATCATAACTGGCATTCATTACTTCGCCTCTTTAAGATCCTTCGTAAATTGAATAAGTAAATGAATGTATACAATCGTCAATTCAGTCAAGGTAGAGTGTAACATAAATGTTTGTTACTACAATATGACGGGATGACGAGATAAAGTTAACAAAGTAAGTAATATGTGTAGTGAGAATGACTTAACTTTGAGAATATGATTTGGAAAGACAATAAAAAATTATAAGTGGAGGAATAATGTGACTCATAGGATATAGAGTAAATCCATCTGTTCCAGCGTGACTCGTCCTGATTAGTGAATTGTAATTTAGCGTAGATGGGAGGTGTATGAAGATAAATCATAGTTGGCTTTTGTCACATTAATACCAGCTGACAACCTATTAAAAAACCTAGAAATAATGGATCTCTATCTTACTTGGTTTCTTAACAGTGCACATCTGTAGATAGTTGAGAAATAACACAATACCTTTGTTGAATTGTAAATGATTTAAACGAATAGTAACATTCATGGAAAACAGCTTACTAAATACAAAAATTCGGATTTGTAAGTTATATATTAAAACTCAATCTAAAATAGCAAATATATCTACATTACCGCCAGCCACCCAATTCGAATTATTCTATTTACGATCTACGACCATAGGTTATGATGCCTTGGTACGGCCGAAATTGGGGAGAGGCAGCTCTCCCTCTCGAAATGATCGCACATGGCCACGTGCATACAATCACTGCATTCTCGTGGCGGGGATGTTTACGAAATTGAGAAGACGAAATGCGAGTGCCCGGCGATTTAACCGCGTTGGTGGATGTGGAGGAACAACCTAGGAGAGTTAGAAAACCCTGACTACAACCCCATAGTACACATAGACTCCAGGATTCTGAAGGAACAAATGGCGTATGAACTAATCATCGATCACCGGCTACCGTGGGACAGCATCTCCTGATGTTGCTCCATCGTCTTGTGGGTCAGATGTTTAGGTCGAAGGCTCCGGGTATGGGCTAATTAAACCACCTGCTCCCGTCAAGACATTAGGGCAGTATTACAGCCCACATACAAATCAAATGGCATGTGTGGCGCATATGTATTTGATGCCCCTTTGTACTAATATTTATGTGTTCAAATAAATAATAAATGATCATTAACCGACTAACTTGACTGTCATCTGTTGATGTTGTTAATTTGCAAATTTTTTCTATTATTAAGTAATACAATCGTAACACACTATTTTTTTGTAATGAGCACAAATCAACCCATAGTTACGTCATATCTATATGAGATAATCTTCAACATGTATTATCTTCATAATTAAGCAGAACTAATCAGTCAGTCAGCAACGTGGAACTTCGTACGTACGTACATCAGTTCGAGTTGATTAATGTTTACATTATTATATCTATCATTCATCGATGTCTTATTTTTATGACGTGCATTTATTACAACTTATTGATTTCATAATCCATTTCGAGACATTTCAAGAAATCTATATAACTAACTCTTCAAAAAGACCATCGCATTGTATCACTTATAATGTGAAATTATAAACACTATACTCTTTGTATCCAAATCATTCTTAACCTGGTAATAGAGTTACATAATCATCATGAAGGATGTCTGTCTGTTGGAAATATGTATCTGACGCGAGAAAAAAACATACAAATCAGCTTTCATTTAGTAATTTTGCTTACAGAATACACTTTATACTATAACTTCTAAATGTTTGTTTAACGAAGATAACTTTTTAGTGTAAACAGTTATTTCCGTTATAAAACGATATTAATTAAATAACCAGAAAGCGCATAGTATCAATTATATGTCACTCCTCAATAATGAACGAGAAATTTCATAAAAGAATGTTGGTTCCTCTACTACTGAATGCTCGAAGGATCCGTTTCTTGTGGATCGACAACTTATTCTTTAGAACGTTTGACTTTCAGTCACAAGGTGCTATATTCCAACCCCACCCAACATCAAATTGATCCAGTAATTAGTATTAATACATCTCAAATTTACTACGTCTCGCATACTCAATTACCTGGTGAACTATTCAGTGTAGTTGTTTTATTTGTTTTCTTGTTAGGTAGTAAATAAATCCACAAATTTAGGTCACTTTTTTTTCTTAAGAGATAAAATAGGATCAAGTAATAAGTCTCTAGAAGGTAGTCTTTTTGAGTTTTTTTTCGTCGTATTGTCAGAGGTTAGATTAAAAATATTGTGGTCCTGTATAAACAGTAGTTGTCAATTTGAAATTTAGTAACAAAACGATTCAAATAGTTAAGGTTCGATCTTTTAAATCAGCTGTTCCACCAAGGTGCTTGGTATCTGTGTGGTCACGCCACAGTATTGAGCTGTACTATTCAGATTGTGGCGTTAAGGCCTATATGGTGTCTGGTTGTCCTATGAAGCGGGATCGAGTTGTACTGCTCAGGTTATAAAGTTTAAGCCCGGATAGTGCCTAGTTCTCTCGAAAACGGGATTGGGCCGTACTAATTGGGTTGTCACGTGAGAATTTGGATGGTGTCTGGTTCTCCCAAAAATCAGGAAATCAGCGAAATACTCAACACGATAATATTTATCTAAAGTATACAATAATCAGATTTATTTACCTTCACTACCTAGCTGTTTAGTTAAATTGATCATTGTTTGTCAACAGTTTAACATAGAACCACAGTAGTAGGTAATAGAACATTCCTGTCTTGTTCGGAAAAAGACTAAATGAATGGTAACTTCCAGGGATTATTTATTGAAAATCGCAAGAAAAAAGATTCTAACAGAATAGCATGAATTCATTTTATTTCGTTTAGTTCTCGTCAACTGCTTACAACCTGTGATATTTATAAATCATAGTTACATAATGGGTTTAAATTAATTACATGAAAGGGTTTGGTTGGAAGTGATATTGAAGACACATTAGTATAGTATAGCAAGGGTGCGAATAAATTTAATAGGATGAATATTGTAAATATATACCTCATGTGATGAAAGAACATTCTACAACATTGATTGTGACAACAGTTCAAACGGCTAGAAACAAGTGATTACATAATGAATAAATATTGATAGATGGTGGTTGGAGGTAGTCGACAGGAAACCCTGGACCTGGGTTTCGTGCTACTTGGCACTC